AAGTTTCCCCCAAATCATAAGTCTGGGAAGACGGAATAAATTCTTACAAGAGAGAACAAGTAGCTTTGAAGTGGCCGCTGCAAGCGCCGCGCACAATGGTCAGCCGCTTAGGAGCAAAAGTGAGGATGTGTCAAGTTGAGCCTGTGGAATGATAATCAGTCGGCTGCCGTCAAGCGGACGGGGCGGAAATATCGTTTACCTTTGAGCGTACTTGCGTTTGAAGCGGCACGTGGGTTGATAACATGAGAAACATCGATAGCACGCAGAGTAGGTGATTGGGCATGTCTGTAAGCCATGGCAGAGCGAAAGCAGAGTAACTCAACACAGTAGGTTCCTACACAACCTCAGTATTTTACCACTTATAACTAATTCACACGTAAGGCACCGAGTCCTCCTATTGTTTGCTGAAGCACATGCTGGCAATAGTAGAAATCGACGGTCCAACTCTCACCACGGGAAAGTTTTGCATTTTTAGCATCTCGACGTCAACTAGAAGCATATAACTGGAAGTGTTTTCCTATCACCGTGGAATTCATTTCTTAATGCGTACAATTACCGTTGCTACAGTAGATAACGGATACCGGCTCCAAACTCACCATGCGGGTGGTGGGAGTACGACGAGTTATAATCATAAGACACATCTTAATCCTGTAAAACGCCCCTATTTATTTTTTTTGTTTTTGTGCTTTGTATATCTCATCAGCCAGTCGACACGTGATTGAAAGAGAAGAAGAGGATGCGACCACCAGAACAAGAGTTTTATTATTCCTGACGTTTCGGATTCCATCGGGAATCCTTAATTATAGGTAATGTTAGCTTAGTCATAGTCATGCGCAGATAGGGTTGAAAAATGCACAGAACGTCTGCATTTTTAAACGTAAAATTCCCCGAACTTGAACTTTGTGTGTTCTGACTACAGCTTAGGTTTATCAGCTATATATGGAAGGATAAAATTGCGCTTCCTTTTAAATTGTCATATGACTTCTCCGTTCACTTGAAGTAAGTCAGTCTGGAATAAGTTTTATACATTTAGACTGTGCTATATACCGACCGGTGATGACTTAGATCGCGAATAACGGAACACAAACATACAATGTAGAGAGGCGACCCACTGTCGCAGATCGCTACGCACACTCTGGAAGGCCACGAATTTGACCTCTCGAGCACACGGATAATGGCGTATGCTGCTAATAAGACTGGGCGAGAACTACTGGAGGACAAAGTATCAGAACCTAACTCCATAAACAGGCATGTGGATATACCGCCGTGTTATTTTGCCATTCGTGCTTGCGATT